GACATGCAAACTTCAGACATACTACGAAAGGGTAAATTTCTGCCTCCCCCTCCCCTGCAGTCAGGTCACATTTCTCATTCATAATCATAATAATATATCTTGGATTCAAACTGGATTCAGCCTACAAAATCTGGTGCAGACTTCTTCATAATTTATTCGAAAATGTACTTCACTTGAAGAGGATTTAAAGTTATAAAAGCCGCCTAACCAAATCATGATATTTTCCTTAAGTAACATTTTTTTACGTTCTAAAATAAAGACGTTACTATTGTATAGGATGATATATTTGTGGAGAATTCAGATTTTGGTCCAGATTTTGTGTCATAAGTCGACTCATGCACAGCCATAAGTCGACTTATGGTAAGTCGACTTATGGTAAGTCCACTTGTGTCTGTGCACGAGTCGACTTACGTTCTGTTCTAAAATTGTTGGTTTTGGTCTCTGGCAAGTTGACTTATCAAGATTGTTAAGGCGACTTACGTTTTGTTCTCCAGTTGTTGATTTTCGCTCTGCCAAGTTGACATATAGCCCATGTTAAGTCGACTTATAGTGGGTTTTCTGCACAGTTTGAGTTTCTATTTGGATTTTGTTTAGGTTTGTGTTTTGATATAAATAGGAACATAATTTTGAGGGTTTGGAAGGCTTGAATTAGGGATATTTGGAGCACAGAAAAGAGGTATTTTCTGAGCTATTGGTTAGGATTTTGTTTGGAGAGAATTAGAGATTTGTTAGTGAGATTAGTTGGTTGGTTTGAGTGATTTGTAATATCAGTTTGTACTCTTCTTCTCTATTTGTGAAAACCCCATCCCCTTCTTTCCCCGTGGACGTAGGCAACTTGCCAAACCACGTTAAAATTGGTTGTTTGTGTTTGTGGCATTACTTAGGTTTGTTTGGCCTTCTCTCGGCGTTTGGTTTGGTTCCTCGAATCATATCGATTTTGGCTTCCGCGCATAACAAGTGGTATCAGAGCACAACAAGTGGTATCAGAACTTTAGCTAAGCTTGGGCTAATTAGAGAAGTAGATCGCTTTGGAAGTTCGTCTAGGGCTTATGTTGGTGATAAATGTGAGATTTTTTCTATTTGTGGATCTTGTTTCCGTCGTGTGGGGTGAGATCTTTCAGAGGCCCTTGTTAGGGTTACAGTTGGAGGTAAACATCTCTCCTTTTCAGTTTGGATCTATTCTTCATTTGTTCCGTATTATTTTGTTGGTGTTTTAAGAAACATGGTAGAGAAAGAAGGAGTTATGAAGGGTACTTCCTGCGTGAAGACCGTTCAAAGTTTGAATATCCACTCTATAAAAATAGATGTGGAGAAGTTTAATGGCACAAATAATTTTGGTCTTTAGAGATGTGAAGTATTGGATGCGCTCAACGCGTAAAATTTAAAAGACACTTTAGAGTTGGACGGAAAACCGAACGACATTGAGGAGAATGTTTGGAAGAAGATGAATAGAATGGTGTGTGGTGTGATTAGATCTTATTTAACTCAAGATTTAAAATATGATGTGATCAATAAGACTTCGGCTAAGAAGATTTGGGAGATCTTAGAGGGTAAGTATTTGATAAAGAGTGTAGAAAACCGCTTGCATTTAAAAAAAAGGCTTTATCGCTTCTAATTAAAAAAAGTGGACCTCTATTGGTGGTCACATGAACCACTACACGAAGCTTCTTGCGGATTTGGCGAATATAGATGTTATGGTTAAAGATGAGGACAAGACGTTGTTATTGTTGAGTTCCTTACTCGATGAGGAATATGAGAGCTTTGTTCTTACTTTTATTAATGGGAATGCATCTCTTTTGTATAGTGAGATCACCGCTGTACTTATAAATTATCAACTTTGAAAGAAGAATAAGGAGACTTTAGCTGAGCCGGTAGCGGGGGCATTGGTCATAAGAGCAAAGAGTCCAAACCGTGATAGGAGATCGCAGTCTAGAGGGGGCACATCCTGGAGTTCCTAGGAATCAGTATGTCTTTTGTAAAAAGGATGGACATTAAAAATCTGAATGCCTAAAGTTGACAGATCGAGCCGGGAAGAATAAGAGAAAAGATATTCAAGTTTCAGACGTAAATATTGTCAAGGCTAGTGGAGAAAATTCAAATTCGGATTCTTTGGGCTACTCATTAGCACTAACATCAGTTTGTGTTACCGACTCTATAGAGTGAATGTTGGATTCGGGTGCCCCTTACCACATTTGTCATAGGAGGGATTGGTTCTCCAGCTTTCAGGAGTTAGAAAGAGGGGATGTCGTGTTCATAGGTAATGATCATGAATGCACTATTGATGGTATCGGTACCGTTCGTATTATGATGTGTGATAGGATGATTAGGGAGTTGGATGAAGTGAGCTTCGTTCCTTAGTTGAAGAAGAACATCATTTCACTTGGAGTTTTGGAGGTAACAGTCTATAGGGTGATCTTAGAGGATGCATGTTTAAATATCACATTTGGGTCCGTGATTGTGATGAAGGGTATCAGAAAGAAGAATTTATACTATTTAATTGAGAGCACGGTGATTGGTAGAGAATTGACGACTTCTTTGGGTTTGGCTAGACTGTGACATTTGTTGAGGCTGGTATATTTGATTGGTTATGTCGTGCATGGTTTGTTGAAGAGTGGTTTGACCTATAGTTTGAAATCCTTTGAGCATATTGGTATGAGCAAGAAGACTGATGTGTATTTTGGCACTTCTATCTATCGATCGATAGGTCTTTTAAGTGATGTTCATTCAGGCATTTGGGGGCCTTCCAAGGAGACATCATTGGGAGGTAATTGATATTTAGTTTTTATAGTTAGAGACTATTCTAGGCATTAGTGGGTTGCAACCAAGTCCTGTTGGTGTGAAGTTCTAGAAGTCAACAACAGATGGAGGAAGTGTATTGTCAGAAAGGTAATACGTCGTTCTGATTCTGGTAGGGGTTCTTTTCTGTATTTGTGCCGAGCTCACAGTAGTTTGAGATACTTCATTGGAAAGAAAATATTAGAACGACGAGATGAGATGATAGTTTTGATAGGTCGTTCCTTGCTGGAGGAGGATCGATGTTGGTTGTTGAGCATTGGATTGCAGATGAGTTTTAGAGCTTTGACATATTTGGGTCATCTTAGCCATAGGTTGCCAATTGCTATGTTTAGAGATTTTGGATCTGGTGGAGCTGCTTTAGATTTTGGGTTGTTTCAGATGTTTGGTTACCCAGTATTTGGTCATATCAAGGATGTAAGATTTGATCCGATAGCACATTTAGAATTCAGATGCGTGTTTGATTATCAGGTATTGACTTTTGATTTTGTTCTGAGTAAGTATGTCACATTTGACTTTCGACAGGTGGAGAGTGTTAATCAGATCATTGGGATATCACAGCAGGTGGAGGGTGATGCTACTTCACATTGGATGGATATTACTCCACATACTCCAGATCATATTGTATCGTTTGGGATTCCAGCTAAGGTGACACAGTTTGTGGATCATTTGGATTTAGATGCAGATGATGACTTGGTTGATTCTAATACAGCTGGTGGACATAGTTTGGATTTGGATATGGTCGTTGGTTCACCTTAGGTGGAGATGTTTGGTTTGTCTCACTTTAGAACCATTGGGAAAGCTATCAGCCGAAGATTTGTTGATAAAAAGTTAAGAACTCTTCTATTGGATTGAGGGCCTTTGGAGGCCATTTGGTGAACTACGTGAAGGCTTGATTCCTTAAGTAAGAGGATACGTAGACAGTCATTTATAATACAACCAGTTTGGTGAGTTGATACCGACATTTGGAGGGTGATCACATTCTCATTTGGGTCTCGACTTATTGTGGATTGAGTCCGTTGTCGTAGTTTTGTTTCACTTCGTACTGGACGCAACAAGTGGGACGTTTGGTTGGTATTGGTGTCAGCTCACTTTTGGAAAAACTTCGCCGAGGTGGAGATTTGAGGAGAATTCAGATTTTGGTACAGATTTTACAGATTTTGTGTCATAAGTCGACTCATGCACAAGCATAAGTCGACTTATGGTAAGTCCACTTGTGTCTGTGCACGAGTCGACTTACGTTCTGTTCTGGAATTGTTGGTTTTGGTCTCTTGCAAGTCGACTTATCAGGATTGTTAAGTCGACTTACGTTCTGTTCTCCAGTTGTTGATTTTCGCTCTGCCAAGTCGACTTATAGCCCCTGTTAAGTCGACTTATAGCGGGTTTTCTACACAGTTTGAGTTTCTATTTGGATTCTGCTTGGGTTTCTGTTTTGATATAAATAGGAATATAATTTTGAGGGTTTGGAATGCTTGAATTAGGGATATTTGGAGCATAGAAAAGAGGTATTTTCTGAGCTATTGGTTAGGATTTTGTTTGGAGAGAATTAAAGATTTGTTGGTGAGATTAGTTGGTTGGTTTGAGTGATTTGTAATCTCAGTTTGTGCTCTTCTTCTTTATTAGTGAAAACCTCATCCCCTTCTTGTCTCGTGGACGTAGGCAACTTGCCGAATCACATTAAAATTGGTTGTTTGTGTTTGTGACATTACTTTGGTTTGTCTGGCCTTCTCTCAGCGTTTGGTTTGGTTCCTCGAAGCACATCAGTTTTGGCTTCTGCGCATAACAAGTGGTATGAGAGCACAAAAATATTTGATTGCCAAAGGAATATAGGACTACATCTTTGTAAAAAACCCAGCATATCTAAATAGAAACAATAATAACTCCCTTAAAAAAAATCTATACAAGGGATAAGCATGCACTAAATCTCTAATATTGGGAAGTAAAATGTTGAATCCTTGTGTGCATGAACTCAATCATAACAAACTGAATCTTACCGTATTATTCAGAAATTTCTTTAAGGAAAGTAATTAACGTATGTTTCTCCTATAAATCAGTAATTAACGTATGTTTCTCCTATAAATCTTAGTGGGCATAGAGCCTGTGCAAATATCAAAGAAAAAACAAGAAGCCATTAACAAACAAATTCTTTGCTTTCTAAACATCTTCTCAAACTAAGTTTTTCTTCCTTTCTCAAAAAAATTTCCTCAATGAAGAAGGGGGTAGTAATCGTGGGAGCAGGCCCCGCAGGGCTAGCAATCGCGGCATGCCTCAACGTCCTCAGCATCCCTAATATCCACCTCGAAAAAGAAGATTGCTATGCTCATTTATGGAAGAAGAAAGCATACGATCGACTCAGCCTCCACCTTGCTAAGGAATTCTGTGCGCTTCCTCACATGCCACACGCCGATTCAACGCCAACATATATCCCAAAAAACCAATTCGTCGAATATTTGGACGAATATGTTGTAAGATTCAACGTCAATCCTATTTTCAACGTATCCGTCGAATGTGCAATGTATGATGAGTGTTCGAAGTCTTGGAGCGTGAAGACGCGTAATTTGGCGACAGGCGAAGAAAATGAATACAAGGCGCAATTCTTGGTGGTGGCGACAGGCGAGAACGCGCAAGGGATCATTCCAGATATTCCGGGGCTTAAGAGTTTTGATGGTGATGTGATTCATTCTTCTCGGTATAGTAACTCCGGTATGGAGATTGCTTATGATCTTACAAATTTTGGCGCAAAAACCTCTATTTCCATTCGGAGTCCGGTAAGCAACTTTTATTTTGTTTTGCATAAAAATATAGGTATTCATATCAAAATTATTTCTATTGTATGTGATCAATGGTATAGATGTATTTTTTTTTTAAATTCACGTCCTTCTATTTTTTGAGTTTGACAAAGGTCATGTGGTTTAAAAAAAAGGCGCCAAGAGGCATGAACCTATTCTTTTAAATAGAAAGGAATGAAATTAGAGTAATTCCTATACAAATTTCAAATTAGTAGTAATTAAATTTGTGTGGTTTCAAAAAAAGGCGCCAAGGGGCATGAACCTATTCTTTTAAATAGAAAGGATTCAAATTATAGAGTAATTCCTATACAAATTTCAAATTAATACTTCAAAAAAAAAGGCGCCAGGGAGCATGAAACTGTTCTTTTAAATAGAAACAAATGAAATTAGAGTAATGCCTACACAAGTTCAAATTAGTACTAATTAGATTTGTGTGGTTCCAAAAAAGGCGCCAAGGGGCATGAACCTATTCTTTTAAATAGAAAGGATTGAAATTAGAGTAATTCCTATACAAAATTCAAATTAGTAGTAATTAAATTTGTGTGATTTCGAAAAAGGCGCCAAGGGGCATGAACCTATTCTTTTAAATAGAAAGGATTCAAATTAGAGTAATTCCTATACAAATTTCAAATTAATACTAATTAAATTTGTTTATTTGTGCAGTTCCATGTAATGACCAAGGGGTTTATACGTTTGGGCATGACTCTTGTTCAATACCTCCCATTAAAACTCGTCGACAAAATTCTGATCGCTCTAAACTGCATTTACTATGGAAACCTGTCAAGGTATGGAATCCTCAGGCCCGAAATAGGACCGCTCGCTCTCAAAGCCCTAAAAGGTAGGTCTGCAGTTATCGACGTTGGTACAGTCAACAAGATCAAGTCTGGTGAAATCCAGGTAATCGTTTTATCATCCGAGTTATTTTAGAATTTCATCAGAATTGTTATGTTATGTGCACAGTAATCTAACCGCAAAGTTTGCAGGTTGTCAAAGAGCCTGTAATTCAGAATTGTTATGTTATGTGCACAGTAATCTAACCGCAAAGTTTGCAGGTTGTCAAAGAGCCTGTAATGGTGAACGGCAACCAAGTTACATTCAAAGATGGAGAGACTCATCACTTTGATGGAATTGTGTTTGCAACTGGTTATAGAAGCACTGCAAAGAACTGGCTGAAGGTATTCAACAATTTGTTTGTTTCCACTTTAACCCCCGATAAGCATCGTCAGAAAACCTGTAAAACTAACATCGTGAACTCTATAAACTTCATCTGTTACTTACTTGGATGATATTTACGATAAACCTGCAATTAAAATTTTCCAATTTTGACAACGGTGTAGGATGACAAGGGTTGGCTATTGAATGAAGATGGATTACCAAGAGAGAAGTTTCCGAATCACTGGAAGGGGAAGAACGGACTGTACTGCGTTGGATTATCAAAGAGAGGACTTTTCGGTATCGCGAAGGATGCTGAGATTACAGCACAGGATATTGCTAAGACTTTGAGCACTGAACGATTGAACGGTTGAGGACCAGATTACCTGCACTTGTGTTGTAGTTATGTAATAATTTGCTGTACTTTGGTATGCAACCGGCAGCAGAGGGAGGTGAGATGTACTTATGACATCCATTGTAATAATTTACATTGAGCACCCCCGAATAAAGTACCGACGAGAGATTCAGGCATTTTTTTCCATCTGATCGTACAATCATCTTCTTTCTGCTTGTATAGCATCGCCTTACATTAGAATAGACGGTCTACTCAGAACAACATAACTCGTTAGTTCAAAAGTTTTTTTTTGTCTTCTAATATCTCATCTCCTCTTTTCCTTTTCTACTTAATTCTTTTCCTTTCATCTCATGTGGATATCTGTCCCTTGTTACCAAAAAGACTTATTAAAAAAATTTGCAATACGTTCAGCAGCCACAGCTATACAAACCAGCCCGCTTCTTTCCAACGATTCAGAAGTATTTGTCCATGAAAGCCATCTTCACTTTAATTTATTTATCTATAAGTGAGCCACTTCATTGAGAAATGGGTAAATTTTACCATAACCATGTGAAGTTGGCTGTATTGAAACCCACCCACCGGTGGCGCTCATATTGAGCCACAAATTACCAGACTTCTCTGTCGACTACATAGTCAAAACATACTGATGGGTCCCATATGATTTGGACGCGTTTTCGAGTCCTGTTTGGATTCGGATGGGGGAGTTTCTTGGCTAGTTGGACTCCTGTTTGGATTCGAATTGGGGAGTTGTTTGGATTGTTGGACTCAAATTTGAGGGAGAGAGATTAGTGTTTCTAATCTTCTTCGTCTTCACTGTAACCTCTTGATAAATAGTGGATTGTCGATCTCGCCGGTTGTGGATGTAGGTATCTTGTCGAACCACGATTAATCCTTGCCTTTTCTTTGTGAGGTGGTTGCACATCCGTGTTTGTCACTACAACTAGTATCAGAGCTACTGTAGTTCTTCCTACTGGAGTTAGAGAAGATGGAGTCGAATTCTAACTCGGATGTCAGGTATTCAAAGGGTGCTTCAATCTACGGGATTTAGAAGTTTAATGGCCAGAACAACTTCTGTTTATGGCAAACACAAGCTAAAGACGTTCTCATCAAGGAGAAGCTTTACAAGGCGTTGAGAGGGGTAAAACCCGACAACATGGAGAAGGATGATTGAGAGGAGCATGACTTGAGTGCATGTAGCATTATTCATCTATGTCTATCAAAGGATATCGCCTACAACTTTCAGAAGGAGACTTCAGTTAAAGATATCTGGGATAAGTTGGAGAGTAGATATCAAAAGAAGAACCTCACGAACGTGCATTATCTGAAGAAGAGGTTATACAAGTATCGGATGGATCCAGGTAATTCTATGAGTGATCACATAAATGAGTTCATGAAGATTATTACTGATCTATCCAACCTTGATGATATTATCAAAGATCAAGATAAAGCTATTATCTTGTTGTGTACTTTGTCGAATTCTTATGATACACTAGTTGACACGTTGTTGTATGGAAAAGAAAAGATTTCTTTTGAGGAAGTTATATTGACGTTGTTGTCGAACGCTTCTAGGAAGCAGGATGCTAGTAAGGAGGAGCAGGGTGAAGGGTTGTATGCAAGAGGAAGGTCAGAGAAGACTGGAAAGAACAAGAGTCAGTCCAAGTCCCAGAACCGAAACGATGTCGAGTGCTACTTTGTAATCAAAGGGGTTACATGAAGTTTGATTGTCCGAAGCTAAAAGCTAAGGCCAATAAACAGGAGATGAAATCGGATAAGCAGGAAGAAGCATTAGTGGCTCAGGTTTCTTGTGAAGATGAGCCAGAGGAAGTTCTGTTAAGTATTTCACACAGTTATTTATCAGACGGTTGGTTGTTAGACCCGACGCATCCTACCATATGTATCCTCACAAGGAGTGGTTTTCTACTTACAGGCTGGTTGAAGGTGAAAACATCTTGATGGGTAACGATGTTACTTGCAAGACGGTTAGGGTAGGCACAGTTCGAGTTCAGATGTTTGATTGGGTAGTGAGAACTCTGACAGAAGTAAGGCATGTTCTATCTTTTCGGAAGAGTCTGATTTCTATGGGAACTTTGGACTCCAGTGGCTACAGGTTTGTAGGGGATAATGGGATTCTAAAAGTTCTTCATAATGACAAGGTGATGATGATAGGTAAACGACATAGTAATCTATATTTCCTTGAGGGAAAGGTGATTACAGGAGTTGTTGTGGTATCCCGGGTCAAGGAATCCGATTTGACATCTACTCGGTTGTGGCATATGCGCCTTGGGCATATGTGTGAGAAGGGTATGACCATTCTTAACAGACGTGGTCTGCTTGGCGGTGAGAAGATATCAAAGCTTGACTTCAGTGAGCATTGTGTCTTTAGGAAGCAGTGTAGGGTGAAGTTTGGCACTACAAGCATCACACCAAGGGTACATTGGTTTACATTCATTCAGATGTTTGGGGTCCAAGTAAAGTTAAGTCTTTGAGTGGAGTTAGGTGGTTCGTGACATTTATCGATGACTTCTCGCGGAGAGTTTGGCTATACACCATGAAGGAGAAATCTAAAGTCACCGATTTGATTATTAGATGGAAGACAATGGTCGAGAAGCATACTTACAGAGTTGTCAAGCGGATTTGGTCAGATAACAAGGGTGAGTACACCTCTGGTTCGTTGGAAGAGTACTGCAGGAAGCAAGGCATTGTCAGGCATTTCACAGTGTTGCGAACACCTCGGCAAAATGGAGTAGTGGATCATATGAATTGCACCCTACTAGAGGGAGCACGGCGCATGTTATCAAATTCTGGTTTGGATAAGTGTTTTTGGGCTGAAGCAGTAAACATGGCGTGCTATCTCATGAACTGTTCAATGAATACATCCATTGATTCGAAGACACCTATTAAATTATGGTTTGGTGCTCCCTTTGATTACAGTCATTTGAAAATTTTTGGTTGCCCTGCTTATTTTCACTTTCAGGAAGATAAGATTGATGTGAGAACCTAAAAGGGTATCTTTTTGGGTTATCAAAGTAGTATGAAGGGATACAAATTGTGGTGTCCTGAGTGGAAGAAATGTGTAATCAGTCAGGACGTGACATTCAATGAGTCAGCCATGCTATCAAAGAGTGTAGATGTAGGAGATATTAGCTCGGTTGGAAACACCAGTTTAGAGGGAATCAGGTTGGGTGGAAACGGTGAAGATTTTTTTGAGGTGGAATTCACAACTCCACCGATGTCTACTGATGAGCCAACAATAGAATTGGAGGTTCTGGATGAGGGGCCTATTCAGTAACAACAACAACCGTCCTTGGCAGGCGATAAAGAGAGAAGACCCAATGTGGGAAAGGCACCAGTTCGTTATGGTTTTGAGGATATGATAGCATATGCTTAATTTGTGTTTGGAGATGAGCATGTTACCTACAATGAGGCTATGAGAGGTGATCGTAGCAAGGAGTGGATGAAGGCTATAAGGGAGGAGATGAAGTCCCTTCATAAAAACCATACTTGGGAAGCACTAAATAGGAAGAAGTCAATTGGGTGCAAGTGGGTCTATACGGTGAAGGATGGTTTTCCAAGCTCCGGTGGAAGTACAGGTGTACGGTACAAGGTAAGATTGATGGCAAAAGGGTATACACAACTAGAAGGTGTTGACTATAATGAAGTTTTCTCTTCGGTCATGAAGCACACCTCTGTCCGGGCCCTTTTAGCGATGGTTGCGCGGTATGACATGGAGCTCGAGCAATTAGATGCAAACACTACATTCTTTCATAGAGATTTGGATGAGGACATTTATATGTCATAGCCCAGTGGATTTACAGTTGCTAGTAAGAAGGTTTATGTGTGCAATCTGAAGAAATCATTATATGGATTAAAGCAATCGTCGTGACAATGGCAGGTTGATGGTTCTTTCATCTATTTTGTTGCTTTACGTTGATGATATGCTTATTGTCTCACATGGTATGGTGGAAGTCAATAAGCTGAAGAAGAAGTTGAGCTCCGAGTTTGAGATGAAAGACTTGGGTCCTGTGAAGAAGATACTTGGAATAGAGATTGTTCGAGATAGGAAGAAGGGGATGTTGTGCCTTTCTCAAAGGCGATATGTGGAGAAGGTGTTGGCTCGTTTTGGGATGCAAAACTCGAAGCAAGTTAGTACTTCGTTGGCTCCTCACTTCAAGTTTTTAGATCTTGCACACGCGGTCAGCTTGGTTAGTCGATATATGGTAAATCCGGGTAAACAACACTAGCAGGCTGTCAAGTGTATTTTACGGTATCTTCAAGGATCGTTGGATGTCAGTTTGTTTTATTCGAAGATTGGAGAGTCACATGTGAGAGGGTTCATGGATTCGGACTATGCGGGTGATTTGGACAGGCGTTGGTCCACCAGTGAGTATTGTTTTGTTCCTGCCGGCGGTCCAATCAGCGGGAGGTCTATGTTATAGTCTATTGTAGCATTGTCTACTAAAGAGGCAGAGTACATGGTAGTAAAAGAGACGATTAAGGAAGTGGTGTGCATATGTGGCTTGGTCCATTGTGCTCGCATCAAGCATATTGACGTCCAATTTTATTTTCTCCATGAGATAATTGAGAGTGACAAGATTCGACTGACGAATATTGACACTAAGTAGAACCCGACGGACATGTTGACAAAGGCTATTCCAACAGCCAAGTTTGAGCATTGTCTCAACTTGATCAATGTTCTTCAGTGTTGAGGCCCTTCGGGGCGATTTGATGGTGATGGTTGTTGAAGAGATCAGAGGTTACTTGGGTAATGAAGACTATTGCTGGCTTACCAATTTCGTCAAGGTGGAAATTTGTGAAGTTGACTGTATTGAAAGCCACCCACCGGGGCTCATATTGAGCCACAAATTGTCAGACCTCTCTGTCGACTACAAAGTCGTGGGTAACCAGTCGTGAGTCTGTTCGTTCATGTAATTTGATATTTCCCATATAGTTCTTCTATTTTTTTTAGGTAACCAGTCGTGGGTCTGTTCGTTAGCAGGCTCAAATATGGTTTTTGTTGGC